TATAAAATAATAATTTAATAGTAAAAATTTTAAATAATAAATTTTAGTATCGTCTTAATAATTAATTCGACTTAATAAGCTTAGGCCCCAAATGTATCTCTAAATTATAAAATCGATTTTGATTGGTTCGTCAACGACTGATAAAATTTATTAAGATAAATATTTGATAATATTTGAAAATTACTAAATATACTTTTCGTTTAGCATATTATTTATTAGCTTTGTCATTATTATTATATATTTAAAGAGAAATTATTTTTACTAAATAAAAATTTTTATACTTAATAATTTCTTTAAAATTATTAATTAACATCGTTGACACTAGAGTTTGGATCCGTTCATCCAGATATCTGATTTGACATGTACCATTTAATCCAGATAAAACGAATAATTATCTAGGTAATATCTGGATATCTGCAGATATCTGATAGGTATCTGGATATTGATCAGATATTTTCTGATTCATGACTTCTTTTTATTTATTGTTATTTTTTTTTATATCAATACATATACAAAGACCATAAATTCATAAATAATAGATTCACCATCTTTCTGTTATAAATTACTTTATTTACTGAGGAAAATTTGATAATTTTACAGCCAACAAAATTAATGCAAAATATAAAAAAACATATATAAAAAAATAAGAATAAAAAAAATAAAAAAATTAATGCCGTCTCCTTCTTCTTTAGTTTCTTCGATGAGGACTAGGACTAGTAGAACTAGTACTAGAATTAGTACTAGAACGAGAACAATGATGCCTACGCCTACAACAGTCTGAACTTAGAAATTTTTCGGTGAAAAATTCTTATTCATCACTAATTAACCGTCACATGGACGTCATACAGGTAATTTCTTAATTGCTTCATATTGGTAAAAGTAATGTTAATGCCGGCCGTATCACATGACCGTGTACAATACACCGTGTACAAATAGAAATTGCCTATTTTTAATATAATAAAAAGTATAATTAACTAATAATTAATAATAATAACTAACGTTCTACAATATAATAATGAATATAAAAATTAATTGAATTTATATTATAATTAATTTAATTACAAAAAGGTATAATAAAATAATTATCAACTATTATATTATTAATTAATAATTGATTTTGTTAAATAAAAAATTTAATAAATTTTGTTATCAATTATTAACATTTACTTCTTTTTTTATTTCAGTCATCATTAAAAATTAAAAAGTGCTCTTTCTTTTTTATTTGTCATAAAGTCTTACAATGCATTAAATTTTCTAAATTGGTACACCTTTAATTTTATTTGCAATTATGCACAAGTAAATATTTTAACTTAACAAATGCTTAATTTTGATGTGGAATATTTTGTCTTAAACTTTGCAGCTGATCAATAACGTCATTAGTTTATTATAACGTGATAGAAACTGATTTGTTCAGAGCTTTAAAATAATTTTATTTTCATTAAACAATGGAAATTAAAAACTTAAATTATTTGTAAAATCAGATGAATATAATTAAAATCTAATACCTACAACTTTTCCTACATTAAATTTAAATCTTATAAAAAAATTCTGATTCTTATTAAAATTTGAATATAAAAAAGAACTGAACACGTCATGTAGAAATCAATGTGGTCGTGGAAATGTATCGGAATAAAAGGACAAGTATAGTTGTTAACATTGTCATGTCATACCATGTATCAACATTCCATTTGGAATCGTGATTTGAAATAAAATAAGCTCTTGCAACGATCCGATTTGAATTCTGAATTCTCACTCTTGATATTATTAGTATAAACATCTTTTCGTCCGTGCCGTATTCTATCGCCATGGTTTATATGAAGTGCTCATTTCCGTGCTTCTTAACTTATAATTACATCTACAACTCTTGATTATTGAGATTTTTATAAAATTTATCGGATTTGCAAAAAAGATAAGCAATAAGGTATGTTTATGCAATATAATCAATTACGTACTACAATGTGATTGGCTAAAACTATACCACATATACCTACAAGACGCCGGAACTTTTTTTTTTTGTTGGAAACTCTTGCCGACAGAACATTTTCAACCATCGATTACCATCGATTGATTAATATACCCATATTCCTAACAATAACTGACAGTTTGATTTTATTTTTACATTTTTACAGAAGAAACCATGTGGAGGCAAATTTTGCTTTGGTCTGCAATGAAAAAATTCTTTTTGCCGTGAATATGCTTTCCCGTTATCCCGTTTAAAATAACCATTTTTTTTTGGAGAAAAATTTAATAAATAATTTCGATGTCGTTTATCTTGAGCATAGTATATAAAAATCAAATCCAGTGATTTTTTAGTAACGGAAAAATGCGTACGACAAGCGTAGTTTAAGACCTAACTTCTTATTGTAGGATCATCAGGAAAGTCTTGTAAAACTTTCGTCTTCGTGCGAAAATAATTATATCGGAAACGAAGAACTCCGTAATTCTCGATATCTATGAAAATGATGAAAAGATAAGTAAACAATGTATTCTGCTACCTGGTCCAGTACCGATAACTGTCGTCGTTGTTGACATATCGGTTGCTATTAAATCGACGAACATAGTAAAGCAACCCAGGAAAACCCTCGGGCACGTGATTATAATAAAATATTTGTCATATTTATCATATTTATACAGGGGGACAGTTATTTTTTTGAATGGCGAAATCTTATTTGTCACATATCGATTTGTCACGGTTAGAATTAGTTTAAATAAAGCAGAATATTTATAATCAAAATGACGTAGCTGTGTAAACTGTAAACAACTAAAAATGAATTGATCAACTTCACGAGAAAATCAAAATTGTGCAACGAGAAAAAAAATTTTTTTTTTATTATTTTTATTAGTGATCTGTTAAAAATAAACAAAAAAAAATATTAAAAAATAAGTCTGCAATAAAAAAAAATACATAACGAATCAAAAAGAAGCCCCCAATAAATGAATGATTTGCTACGAAAATCATGAAAAAAAAAAATGAACTGAAAATACGAGCGTTTAAAACCAAAAGCTTCATCTCCTTTACTCTTATAAATATAAATAAGTTATAAATTGTATAATATTTTATAAATAATGGGACGAAGTCTGCCAATCTCTATATAGATTATACATTGTGCAAAAATTAATTACTAGAAATACCTTTATTTTCCGTGCAATCCGACGAGCATTTTAGGTTAATCTCCGACAGTAATCTTATCCGGTCCGAATATGTTAGTTTTCATGATTGAAAAAAAAAATTTAGCTTTCGGACCTTTAAAAACAAAAAAAGGTTAATCCATTACAAATTCTACCAACGCTGCCGCAGCTTTTATTGCCACTAATAACGACAATGTATGTATTTATAACTTTATATTCACACTTATTACTGTAATGCGATTGCATTTTTAAAAAAAAAAAGTAATATTAATTTCGGAACATTATAACGTGCAATAATAATATTTTGTTTCTTAGAAAAGAAATATTACAGTACAAAAATAAAATGAAATAAATCATTCGGCATATCTAACTACTCGGCCCCAAGTCTCAAAAGTTCCCCAGATTCTAAATGATATACAGCAGATTACATTAAAAATAATACTCACAGAATTATACCATTTAAAAAAAAAAAAAATGCTTACCCTTGTCTAATGATAAGTAAAAAAATTTTTTATTTTGAAAAGTTAGAATGGTTTTGAAGAATGAAAAACAAATAAAATTCAAACATCTTTTTTCCTCACCTAAGACATTCCAACTGAACAATTTGACTATGATCAACAAACAAATTAACGTCAGCACCATAATTCTTTACGAACCAGGTAAAAACCTCCGGATCAGCCGCTTCAAACATAACATTTTCCTTTCCAACTTCTTGAATGATTCTAGCAATAACATCAGTACGCCATTGCTCCCTAGGTACATTTTCTGTAATTCCTTCACTTTCAATCATCAATAACGGAGTGCTAGTTTCTTTAAGGAAGAGATGAGCTCGAGAGATTAAATGTTGGATATCCTGTTTGGTTGTTGCAGTGGTGAGGGATGGATCAAGTACACCACCTCCCGATCCAAATTGAATTCCTAATTCAGGTTTCGGAATTAGACCAAGTGTTGATGCTTTGTTTATCAAACGCA